AGTATTAATGCCCATTTGCAGCCTGTTAAAACTTGTGAAAATGGAAAGGTTGGTTGGTTATGGGAAATTTTTAGCATTACTCTCTTTTGCTTTCATTTACTGAAGATCATTCTTTTGTTTAAAAGTATCATTCATCCAATGACAGACTAAAAAAAAGAAGCCTATCTAGCAAGCACAACAGACTGTGCAGCCTGAAGGTTATACAAGGTGTCAAACTAAACAATGCCATTCAAAATGGCTTGTGATCAAATGTGTCAGTAAAGAAATATAAGGCAACTTGGCCCCAAACGGAATCACAGGGCTTCAGACATACACAGCTCCAGGAAGTTTGAATTCACATTGGTCTGTATGAGAAAAATCCTTGTCTAGCTAAGTTTTAAGCTCACTAAAATACAGATGTTTTCCTTACTCTGTGTATACACAGAAGGTAGTAGTGGAATGGCAAGAGGCAAGTAGCACTGCTTGAACACTGATAATAATGAGCAGCACCGCAGATCATCATTCAACCCAAAGCAGGTAGTTAACACACTATTTCCAGAGCCACAGCAAGTCCAAGACAATTAAGACAGAGGATATTGAGCAAAAGGACACACTCTTCAGCCTTTTTATTAGTATTTATTGTTGTTATTGTTATTCACACTTAAACAACTCAATTACATAAAGTGATTTATATGAAGAGCTCTGCATTGTTATCATAAGGTGAGAAAGTATGCACACCACAGTGAAATATTCTGTAGATACAATGATGTAGGACCTTTGCTAGAAGGGATTATTTCCAAGAGTCTATGTACAAATAAAGGTAACTTTCATACTATATACAAACTTATATTCACAGAGCATATACTGATTCAGAGATAAGAGTTTCATCTAGTGAATAATGATCCATACACATGAGAAAAACTGGAATTTTCAGAGCGTTGCCTGGACTTGCAAAATAAAAAATACATGGCAATGTATTTTTTCTTTTATAGTTTGAAATGAGTAAAGATGAGGGACTTCAGATTTTTCTTAAAATAAACTGAAAACGAGAGATTATGGACTGTGAAAACTAAAAAGTGGAGTAAACAAGCTAAAAAAGCGTTATTACAAAAATAGCATCTGATTGTCAATTATAACACATTACTATTTTCACATGACAATACAGTGTCCTGATCTTGCCATCTTAAGATGAAATCATTTCAACTCACTTAAGTCAACTCCCCAGAGTCAGGATTACAAAATTAGAACTGTGCAACAGAGATCTTGATAATGGAAATGAACACAAACCCAAGTGAAATCCTTGGCATTATGTAACTTTAATAGGGGATTAAGTGAAATAGTTGATTTTTCTTGGATAATCTGAGCCTGAAAACTTTTGGAAAAAGTGATAGAATTAACTCATCTCTTATAAACTTACTAAAACATAAGGAGCTTCCTTTAGTGTGATCTCAGTGGGAGAAAACACGAGAGTAGTAGAATGACTGAATTGTTTCATTGGGCCTGACTTTCTCCTGGAGTGAACAAGGATGGCAGGACTGAGTCCCTGCTGCAAAGGTAGTGTGCAGCATTTTGTACAGCCCTGCAGGAAAACTCAAGAGTATGAGGAGCAAACTCCCCCTGACTTACTCACAGCTTCACTAAGGCAAAACCAGATCCTGCTTTACTGTACATTTATTTGTCAGTATTTTACATTATACCTTAAACAGAGACATGAAATTGATTCTTTACTTTAAAATTAATGATCCCCTTATTTAGAAAGCCCATACTAGCCTTCTGGGTTTTTTATGGCTTCTTTTTGCATTAAGACAACTATGTGACATAAAATAAAAAAAAAAAAAAAATAGTAAAGTGCAAGATCTTTAAAAATGTGTACAAATTTCTTTGTTGGGGTTGGTTTTGTCTTTGATGAGTGGTGAAATTACAATAAATTTACATGAATGTACAGTATATTTACCAGTCTTGAATTACTCAGTCTTGTCCTGTGCCACTTCACTTATGGCTCACGTGGGAACGATGTGGCCAAGTGTGTGTCTGGTCTGCCCACGCTCCGAGTGGTTACGTGGCTTCTAGGCTGGGGCTGACTTGCACCTGGCTGGCTGGAGCATGGGCTCAGCGCCATGCTAATGTGATTACATGGCTTCTGGGGAATGCATGGCTTGCATCCAGTCAGGCAGGCGCATGGGCACGGGAAAGCGCAGACTAGCTGCACCCATCCAAGCAGACAAATCCTGAGATGCCATACACTGACCTCTAGCAACACACAGCAGATCTACAGGATGACTTGTCTGAACTATGGAACTGTGATCCTTAAATGATTTTGTATCTGATGGCTACAGTGAACTGTGTAATTTCAATTTGGAAGTTAGTCTCCCCAGTCCCAGTGGAAATACTGATATTCCTGTAACTGATGGCAACAGACCCAAGAAGGGTAATTTTAACATCAACCAGGAATGAAACCCATTCCTATCGGAGGACTGGAGCAGGACTCCTCTCCATACTGTTGAGTGCACTTTCTTCAAGTATTTTTCCGGGTGCAAACTCTTCAATTTAACTTTCCAGGAACAGGAGGAAGACAAGAATCGCCTGCTCAAACCATGACTCTTTCTCAGATAGTTGTGTCAATTGTTATTTACAAGAGTTAAAATTGTTTCCAAGAACACAAGTGAGTGCAATTTTTCTCTTTGTACATAGCTCCCAGGACAATTAGGTTTGTTAGGCAACTGCAATTATGAAATATGGGATCCTAAGATAAAAGTCTCTATCTTGTCCAGGTTAATGGCAGAAATCTGTTTTTTGTTGGGCCAGTTGTTGGAGAAGGGATTATTTCTTTGTTATAAAACCATCTGATACAGACTCATACTTGATTCAGAACGTAAGTTATATGGACCATAAGATGCTATTTTAAGGAATTACTGCTGAAAGAATACTAGTTAAAAAACATTGTATATCCCCTTTTTTGCAAAATACATAATGAAGTAAAAGACAACCAGAGAAATAATCCCTTAAAAAACACCCAAACATTAATAATATTTCTAAGTATCTATTTTTTCACTGTACTCGGATTTAACTACATGTTTAACTTACCGCTTTGTGGACCTTCATATCCACACACAACAGTACCATGAGTGACAGTGACCATAAACTACTTTGAAGTAGTATATGTGGAAATTACATGGTAGGTTCACTGCCATTACAAACATTAAATGACATCTAGATAAGATTCCTTGTAACCCACTGTGTTTTATGCTTCATGAAGTTTATGCAGTCAGCCACATCAATTGGATACATAAGCAGAAGCATACAGACACAAGGGCCTGTTTGCACTACAAGGAAACACTAGCTTTCAGTAAGAAATTTAATTTAGAAACCATAGAGCTTTGCTGAAAGATTTTTGCATGTCTACATGTAGTTTGTGAGGAGAACATCCTCATACCACACTTTTAATCACACTTTGATAGCATTCACCCTACAGATGTGACCAGGGTGGCTTCTGCAGAGGGAAGGCAGCTTGCTTTTTTCTTTTTTCTTTTCTTTTTTTTTTTTTTTTTTTTCTGTGTGTGTGTGTGTAAAACAGAGAATAGTTGTAGGACTCCAATGGTATTTTGTACCAATGGGATCCATTCTCATATTTAATTCCAATTAAGTTAGTGCAGAAAACCTTTACAACAAGTTACAATCTGAACCATGACCCAACTCAAATGCTACCAGAAATCCCTTCCAAAAATCATGTCCAGCATTGGTTCTGTTTGGATATGATGGTGCCACAGTGAGCTGGCTATTTAATCTGAAATTGCACTCTTGCCTTACTTACTGTGTTGCCAAACTGGTGTCCTGAAAATACTAAGTTAGAACAGGATCTTTATAATAACACCAAATTTTCTACTAATTATTCATTTATGCTTCATAAGGATTATGCAGACAGCAGCATCAATTGAATAAGTGAGCACAGGTATACAGGCAGGTGGAAGAGGCTTCAACACCAACAAACTCGCTGTAGAATCTGGGCAGTGTGCAGAACCAGATTCCTAGTGAAGTCATTCAGAACTGAATTTTGACTTCTAGGTGTGCAATGCTGAGAAACATTAACAATCCCACAGTGAAATATTTATGAACAATGAGAAACAGTTAATGCTGGGAAATTTGCTGCCACTGTAAAATAGGAGTGTCGTAACAGGTAGTGTGCATTTCTGGCAGCACTGACCCTGGACAGCTCATGGACATCCAGTCACTGGGTTGCAGCAGCTCTTGGCTGCTAAAGATTGCTCTTTAGCTCTTTAGCTCTTTCCAGCTAAAGATTGAACACCTCTTGCACAGGATAAAAGAGTAAACTTCTCTCTCCATCCCACTCCTCTCTTTTATCTACAGCCAGCACAGCTGTTGTTTTGTTATCAAAGAGCACATCGGCATGCAAGTATCTTTAAATAGTCTACCTCAGCAGTAGAAAGCTGCTGTGGTTAAGTGGAACCACCTTTCACAGCCTGTCTCCACAGAAAGCACCACACAGGTGAAATCTGTCCTATTACCTCTGGAGCTGAGCTGCCACTGACTGCACAGTCATTCACCCATTTGAAAAATCATCTCCCCAACAGATGCAAGGCAGTGGGAGCCATGAGGTGTCTTATTCTGGAGGGGAAAAAATTATTTTTAATACCTTCCAAGATAAATATGTTGATAGGGACAAGCAGAAACAGGAAAGAAATGAGATACACTTTAAGACAGTATAGAAATGCCATTATAGGATACCAGTCCTTAACCCTATACATAAAATCCTTCAAGTTGTTGATGCCTGTTGTAGACTGAAATATTCCCACTGCATAGGGCTTTCAATTAGTTACTCTATTCTCCCTACCTGCCCCCACTTTGCAGAGTGCACTGGAGTGCTCTTACAGCTCTGAAGGTCAGGTAGGGCTTTTTCCTTTCCAGTGTGGGAGTTGTTACACCATACTGGCCTGAAGTAAAAAAAAACAAAACAAAACAAAACAAAACAAAACAAAACAAAAAAAAACCCCACAACTAAGGAGTAATGGAGTAATGTACTGAACAGAGATCAGACTTCAGTCTGGTTTCTTTATTTGAAATGTCAGATCAGTGAATCTGGGCATTTTAGTATTTTGTACATTCCCATATACACAGCCCTCTCATGATCCTGCACACACTCCTTTAGGTCACTCTGTCTTATTCTGCTCATTTGGGAAAGGATTGCATGTTTAGACTATTGTCATCAGAAATAAAAGCATTTGGTGACTCCTCTGGAACAGATCATACTGTGGAGTCAGCTGCATATTGTGGGACACATTTCTTTTGAGCTCAGATTTTGGTTTATAATTTGCTTAAGCAAGGTTGTTTTCCTGTCAGTAGAGGGCACCGCAGGTATGTAAATACACCCTACTTTCCATCGTGTACACTCGCAGGAACAAATGTTAAAGAGGTGGGTAGCACTATCGTTAAGACAGGTAAGGATTCTGGAGCAATGAAAGATCTTAAATATAACGGCAAGTTTTTGCTCACAATGAGAGAAGCTCACTGTAAAAAGTACTAAAAAAGCAAGAGACGTTGCAAATTTTTGGTTAAGATCAAATACTGATTCTGCACGTAGCTAGGACTTAATATCTTAGAACAGCATATGAGTAGCAGACATCGTAACTCCTAGTTTCCTTCATTTTGTTCATTATTATCTCACTTTTTTCTTCATGATATTATATAATATTAATATTCCTAACATGAATTTCGTACTTTTTTCTCTACCATTGTTTTCTGTCAAGTCCTTACTCTCTAACCATATGCCATTACACACAAACAGATAAAACAGGAAAACAGTAAAGGACAAAGAAGATGAGTGAGAAACAAACAGCATGTAGCAGAGAAAAACTGACAAGACAAAATGTGCTAAGCTTTCTGTTACACAGCTGTGAGCATGACATTGCCATTGTGAGCACAATATGCATATAAAACAATGCTGAAACAGGTCACAGAAATGCACTGAAACTTCATGAACTCTAACTGCACAAAAGACTTGAACAAACAAATGATTATTTGAAATAATTTCTTAACACCCATTCCAGTCCTCCCATTTTTTTCAGCAATCATCCAAACTAAAAGGAAGATGAACATTAGTTGTTTTCTCCCTTCTCATTTTTTTGTTCTAGGTTTGGACCTTCTCCTTCTCTCAATATTTCAGTAAAAGGATATTGCGTTTTCACTCCTTCCTGGGCTTCTTTAGACACTTATACTTCCAGCAATACTGAACAATTTTCATGTAAGCTTCCTGCAGCTCCACTGTAATTAAATTGTGTTTTTCCTACCTAGTTTCAAGACTTATAACAGCAAATGTGAACTGCCCCAGCTTTGTACAACAACTGGGGATCTCTTCCAGCAATAACTATATGTAGCTGTGAAGGTCCTTACACTCCAAGTAATAGTGAAAGCCTGTAAAACATATATTCACTTAGCAATTAGGCTGCCACTTTATAACTACTTATTTCTATTTTCTGTATTATATACTATGCATAAGCAAATTAGCCTTTTTATTCTGGCATGAAAAGGCAAATTCATAACAGCATCTGAAAGCCATTGATACTGTAAATATTGCTGCATTAGAAAAAATGGTGTGTTCACGTAGCTGTATGATGTCGTTGCATGCTGTGTTGCTATTAGAGAAGAAAGAGTATCCCCATTCTGGTCTTTGCATGAGAATGCAATGAAAATCTGCACCAGTTACAAAATGGTCAGGCATCGAGGCTCCTTCAGTGCCAGAGACAGAGTTTCTGGAACCTGAAGAGTTTTGCAAGACGTAAAAAACCACCGTTAAGATCCTGCTGATTGCCTTTACAGACCTGTGATGCAGATGATCAAAACACTGATAAATTCCCTGGCTTTGCTGAAATCACATCATACAAATCCACTCATATGAAGAGACATACAAGCTCTTCCCCATCTGTGACTCATGTACTTGGTATATGCTTTCCACTCAAGAGTTTCAGCAGATCATCAGAAAAATCCTGTACCAGGGTGTGTGGGGGGCGGTGCCTCCACAAAGTTAGTATCAGCATTCTCCTTAGAAGAGGAGAGCCTTAAGAACTGAGCACACTGTGTGTCTGTGTATACAACTACAGAGAACGAGAAGTCTGTGGGTTTGCACCGCAGCCCGAAGAGAAGCAGGAACTGTCACTGTTTCTGTCCGTGCATAGCATGCCCAGTACTGGACAGCGAGGATGCTGTGCAGCAAAGAAAACCTCGGTGCAGCTGAACTCAGCCCTTCACGCGTAACTGCACTGTCCAGCAGCAGTCATTCCTCAGCTCCAAGATCCACCCTTTGTGTCATCTTCTTTCGTTTGCTCTTTTAAAATCGAGGAAGAGGAAATTCACAGATCCATGGGTTATTCTCAGTGAAGCTTTCCACTGTGGGTTTTTTTGGTGTCTTGTTTTGATATACATATTTTTTCTTTAATAAATATATATGTTTTGGCGTTTTTTTTGTTGAGCACTTTCCACTAGATGGAGACAGGACACTGGATCACTTTGTCCTCCAGGAGGACACTGACAATCAGGAACACAAAATAAAGCCCAAACATGAGGAAACCCAGGATTTTATTCATCCTCCACTTGCAGGAAGCAATGGAGAGGATGACAAAGAGCAGCATGATGAAGAGGAGGACAATTGCACAGAACAGACCATTGCTGCTGACTGCCACCGGGGCAAAACTGTTAATCACAGCATACAGGAGCCATGGAAGAGGAAGGCTGTTAAGAAACAGAAAAAATAATTTAAAACATTGCAGAAGACCAGAAAGAGGCACTAGAAATTTTCTGGAGACAATTCAAAATGCAACCAGAGACTTCCTGCATAAAGTAAGGCAGGAGAAGTTTTAACTCTTCTAATATGTACGTAAATCTAACTCGTCAACTTGCTCATAGTTCTTGGGGAGAACACATAGGATTTACGCTCCCCACTCTTCCACTAGTTACACTGGTGAACTATATTTCTCTTGGCTGACAAATCAACTGGCCTCCTGTCTGTGAGCAGGAAGACCTCTTTCGCTTGTTTCTGGATTTCACACCATCTGTGGGAGAAGCTATTCCCACTCCCTTTCCAAGTGCATGCATGACAGGGGGATGGGTTACATAAAAACATGTCCTTGCCATGAAGCAATGTCACTCTGCAAGACACTGCCCGCAAAATTTGGCCCTTAAATGCCTGAAATTTGGCCCTTAAATCCATATTTACTGTATAAACTGGTGTTAAAATGTGAACTTCAATTGAACTTCAGCTTAATTTCTATTTCTGTGTTTGCTGTCATTACATTTCTCATCTCTCAAACCACAGAATGAGGTAATATCCCTTTGCAACATGTCAGGCTGAAATAAATATTTAAGGCTCTGACTGGAGCTTAGCAGGCTTAGAAAGCATGAAGTGAGTTGTCAGAAGCTCACAACATTAAAACTTTGAATAAGCAGCTCAAGAGAGAATAATTTATTACAGCTGCAGTACTAACTACACCAGTCCACAGTTCAACTGTGCCGTTTCTGTTGTAAATATACCAGGTCTAGCAGACTAGTGCAGGACAAAACCATTTCTATTGACAGGAACAGGCTAAACCTTTTCTTAAAAGTAAGAAAGCATTGCAAAAGAGAAAAGTTTTGTAATGCATCCTATGTACTCCAAATTGGAGCACATGGGTTTCGTATATTTTGCAGATTTGCTGCATATAGATATTATTTCAAACACTTCATGCCTCCAGATTAATAGAAAAAGAAGCCCAGTTTTCCTATATCTAAGGTACTGACACATACAGATGAAGTAAAACAGACATTTACTATCTACTCCTACTTCAGGATCCATTTTTGCACCTGTGCAGTTGCTGGTATACTTTCAGCAGCGAAAACCATGATCTCTTCTATGATTAGGTTGTTTGGCACTATGACTATGATTAGATCCGCTCTTCTGTTTGTGTGATAGCAAGAAACTACCAAAGATAGAGAAACTGACAGTATGGACATGATTCTCAGTGCCTCTATCATCTAGTGTTGGGATGTGGCAAAAAAGATAGAGCATATCTGTGTACTTCCTGCACATTTTTCAAATACTGAGGCACAGGTTACATTATTTCTGGTCCTGATCTACCTTATTCTCAAAGAGTCAAAAAGGATTTTGAATTCCAACCTTTTGTCACACATCATTATCTTAGTGAATCTAAGTGTAAATAGCAAGTTTCTGTACAATCTCGTGTAGCTTCACATTGTCAAGAGCTATATAAAGGGTGCTTTCTGTAAAGAGAGAATTGCTCTGTAATTTGGGACTTGCCAGGTATATAAAAAAAATAAATCACATGTCCACAGCAGCCTAAACAAGCTACTCAAGACAATGACATTCCATTGTTATTACAGCAAACATGTTGAATACTGCAGAGGCAATGAATTGTTCCTGATCATCATTTATAAAGAAAGCTCTAGTATAAGCATGATGAATGGTAATGGAAAGCAAACAGCAGTCTCACAAAAGCATAAAAAGCTTTGAAATTCCTTCTTGGAAAAATGCTTTTGTGCACTTTTTAAAATGCACTTGCCTAAGCATGTCTGTAATGTATCAGAGCAAGAATCAGGGAACAAATTAATAACAATTCTGTCATGCAAATGTCTATAAATTTCAGACCAATTGACAAAGTAACATTCAGAGAATATTTGTATGACTCTCCTTTTTAAGGATTGCTGCTTGTGGGTGACACCATGGCAATGTTCTAACAATAAAAGACTTGTTTAAAATGGACACAATTTTTTTGATGTAGGACTTACCCCACTGTGATGTCAAATATGTTGCTTCCAACAGAACTGGACACAGCCATGTCCCCCAGACCTTTGCGTGCTACAATAACACTGGTAATAAGGTCAGGAATGGATGTACCAGCAGCTAGAATAGTCAGTCCCATGATTTCTTCGCTAATACCAATAGTTTCTCCAACCTAAAAGGGTTTAAGGAAAAACAGAAAAAAAGTATCCTGCAGTGAAGAAACATTTCCTGCTGTAAACCTGTGTAAGTTATTGACAGACAGTTGCTGATAACAAGAATGATCAAGTCCTGTGGACGGGAGAACCACAGCTCTCTGAACTACTTTCCACTTTATGAGTAGTGATTTCTTTCATCCATAGTTGCAGCTTCTAAAATAAGGCACTAATCAGCATGACAGAGATGATGGACTCTAATTCTAAGTGATCTCTCACAGTGCAAAGCATAATGCAGGGCTTTTACTTTGTACCAGTATCACCTCCTTACCTGGTGTGCCCACCAGACCATTAAGTAAGAAAAGAAGGCAATCCAGCTAATAGAGCCGAAAAACGTGAGAGGAAAAAATTTTCTTGATGTCTGAAACACAAACAAAGAGAAACAGTAAAAACCTATGTTGAAGGCTGACGTGCCATGCTCTTATTTGCTTCTCAAAATGAGATTGGCTTGTCATTTCTTCTGATGACCTGTTCTGAACAAGTATTTTTATCATCATTAGATGACCAAAATACGTTCAAGAAAGGTGAAAAACTGAATTCCTACACTGGTGTGTATTTACCTATGCCTCATTCTTCCAATCACTTCAGTTATAAAATAAGACCTCATAACAATTTGTATCATAAATGGCAAATTTTGGGTTGTCATTTGTATCATAGTTTGTAATGACACAGTTTGCATATGTGTTTATCTGAACAGTGGGTTGACTTCTAAATTTATTAATAATTTCATGCTTATTCAGAATGAATGTTTTCAAATTGATAAAACAGGTTCACACATTAGTGACTTTGTGCAACACCTTTCACAATCAGTATAACACAGAATGCATATGACAGAGCTAAAAACATATTGAAAATATATTAGGGCATTTACTTTCCTCTATTATAATAGAAAATATGCTAAAAACATATTTTCCATGTTTTGTTTTGTAGAGAAATTTGTAATAAAAACATGCAAAACACAGTGAGACCCTTCAATGAATTAAAAATTCTGCAAAGTGAGACCCTTCAATGAATTAAAAATTCTGCAACACTGAAGTAACTTAATTTTCATTTTCATTGTCTCCCTTACTAATGTCAAATTTTGAATAGGTAGTGTTCTTGCAGCCAATTAATTCATAATACTCAGATTAATGATTTATTTTAGTTTCTGTTCTTTCCAATCTTCTGGATCTCCCATATTTCCCGTTGACTAACTAACTAACTGTTACTAACAGGATCTATGTAACAAAAACAGATCAAGTTAACTACTAAAGAAAGGAAACATGACTGCAGTACTGCATCAGGCAATCACTGTCTAAATCAATCTAAAATTATATTTGTACTGTGAATGAATTCTACCAGTCTTGAATGAAACCACTACCTTTATGATCATGGACCTTCTGAACACAGATCCCTATCCTTTCTGAACAAAGATCCCTATCCCAGATGATTTCTGACATGTGATGAGCAGAATCCTACAAATTTTCATAAATAAGCATTAGGACTGCATGTGAAAGTAAGTTATACCACTCTGAATACCTGTTCCAGCTGTTCCTGCACTACTTCTTCCTTTAGGTCCCTGATAAATTCACTTCCACTCCAGAATTTTTATGCCTATCTTCACTGCTGCTCATGCCCCTGCTGCACCAGGAGACTCATTAGCCTGTGGATCATTCCTAGGTGCTGTGGGAGTAGACAGGATTGCAGGGCTTTCCCTGAATGCGACTTTTGGAGAGAAAATACTACTTCAATTTTGCCAATTTAGCTTGCTCAAGCCATGACAAATACCTCTTTTTTCAGGGAGTTTACAGAACTGCACAACCAGCTTTTCTTGTATAACAAACACAAGAAGCATTTATATGGAACAGCCTCACATTTAGGAACTGATCAACATGGCAGAACAGGGTGGCTGTAGACAAAGAGGTGATCAGTGAACTGGGCTGGCCATTAATGCTGGTCAAGCAGGAATGTCATTCTCTTGACAGCTGAACCAGAAAACAGTGAGGCTGGTCTGTAGCTCAATGAGACTGTGGAGACTCTTTCTGCTGACATAACTGGAATGAGATCAGGACATTTCTGGTGGGGAAAAACATAAAGTCAGCAATGGCAATTGTGCACACTCAGTTACAGGATGGGACAAACAGAAGGTCTGTATCTGTTCCAGCAGCAGGCGCAGCTGTAGCTCGTGCTACAGAGCATTTACTCATTCCCTGTGTGCACTTGGCATAATACTAAATGTCCTCCTGAGAATGTAAACACTGACTAACATGGCCTGTACCTCTCCAGAAGTGAATATACATAGGAACACGCATTAAAAATGCTGCAGGTAATGAGCTTATAATGTTTAAACCTACTCAGATGGACTTTTAAGTTTAAAATGAAAAATTTATATTCATTGGGGGACAGAAGACCTTAGTTTGAAAAGGAACATAATTTGAAAGGAACACAAAGATTACTTTTAAAATAGTGATCTGACACCAGTGGGAGTAGAATTGAGTCTGGTAGGGATAAATGAATCTAAACAGCAACTTCCTTTTTTATAACAAAACACCTAGCACTTCTTTTTTTGTTTTGTTTTTTTTCACCATTCTTAGTAGCCAGCTCTTTCAACTTACTCTTCAACTCTTTTTTGTCTTTTTTGTAAAAACTGGGATTTTTTGGCAACACATATGGTGAATGAGATGAAGCAATACACTTGGCACAAAATCTGCACAGAGCACCTTGTACCAATGCAATTTGAATGATCACTTGACAATACTCAAGATACAAGCAGACACTGGCTTACGCACAGCTAATACAACAGGAGCTCTACTGACCAGTAATAGCTCTGATAGTGAGATTATATATATACATCAAATGGTTCTTGCCCAACAAGGAGACATTGCCTATCTGAATTACACACTCAGGTAATTCAAATGGCTAAGAATTACAAGTCAGTAACTCTGTAGCATGTGAACTCCTCGCCTGTCTTAGCTAATCGTCTCCCACTAAAATTAACTGTTAAGCTGCAGTTCAAGACTAAGAATACTTTAATAGGCTTAACACTTAAATTACCTATTTTAAAATGGGAACACTTAAACTCAAAAAGGGCAAAATTTAAACTTGTGCGTTTTACAGTTGGTGAAATCCTCCTGGCTGCCAGGGCACTGCTGACTCATATTCAACTTTCCAATGACCATGAGCCCCAGGTCCCTTTCCATGGTACTGCTTTCCAGTATCTCATTCCCCAGTCTGTATGAACATCCAGGGTTGCCCCATCCCTGGTGCAGAATCTGTCACTTTTCCCCACTGAACTTCACCTGGTTTGTGATTGCCCACTCTTTTAATTAGTTGAGGTCTCTCTGCAGGGCCTCCCTTCCTTCGAGGGAGTCAACAGCTCCTCCCGGTTTTGTGTCATCTGCAAACTTGCTTATTATCCCTTCCAGTCCTGCATCCAACTCACTTATGAAGGTGTTGAACAGCACAGGGTCCAAGATGGAGCCCTGTGGAACCTCACTAGTGACAGGTCACTAATCTGGTGTTAATCCATTCACCGTTACCCTCTACGCTCAACCCATGAGCAAATTGCTCACCCACCACACAATGTGTTTATCCAGTTGTGTGCTGAACATCTTGTCCAAAAGGATCTTGTGAGAGACAGTATCAAAAGCTTTACTGAAATCCAAAAGATTACATTCAACTGGCTTCCCTTGATCAGATAGGTGGGTGACCTTGTCATAAAAGGAAATCAGGTTGGATAAGTAGGACTTTTGTCTCATGAAGCTGTGCTGGCTCTGCCCAATGACTGCAATGTCTTTCAGGTGCTTTTCAATATTTCCCCCAGTAATCTTCTCCATAACTTTACCAGGCACTGAAGTGAGACTGACAGGCCTGTAGTTTCTGTGGTCCTGCTACTGGAGGGGATTGTCCTGCTCTGCTCTGCACTGGTGTGGCCTCACCTTGAACACTCTGTTCAGTGTTGGGCACCACAACACAGGAAAGATAATAAAGTCTTAGAGAGCACCCAAAAGAGGGCAGTGAAGATGGTGAAGGGCCTTGAGGAGAAGCGGTATGAGGAGCAGTTGAGGTCACTTGGTCTGTTCAGCCTGGAGAAGAGGAGACTGAGGGGAGATCTCATTGCAGTCACAACTTCCTCAGGAGGGGCAGAGGAGGATAGACACTGATCTCTTCTCTGTGGTGACCAGTGACAAGAACCAAAGAAATGTCCTGAAGTTGTGTCAGGGGAGATTTAGGTTGGATATTAGAAAAACATTTTTCACCCAGAGGGTGAAATTCCAGCTGAATACTGGAACAGGTTCCCTGAGAAAATGGTCATAGGACCAAGCCTGACAGAGTTCAAGCATTTGGATGATACTCTCAGGCACATGGTGTGTCGTGATTTTGCCCATCAGCCCATCCCTGGGGCTGAGGATGGTCTTGTCCAGGTAATTTCCGGACAAAAAGGCCAATCAAAAGTCCAGTGACGCCTTTGCTAATTTCATCTTCAAGAAAACGGAAGAGAAGGTTGTTGGCGCAGTTGGAATTAGTAGCAGTAACCATGTAGGAGAAAGGAGTAGCGGGCCCGAGCAGGGCCAGACTCCCTCCTCCCCTGGCTTGGGCAGGGGTGGGGGGAGCAAATGCAGCATTGAAGTCCTCCCTTCTCTCTTGTAAAAGAGTGAAGAGAAAAAAGTTTAAAAGATGAACTGCTTGGACAGAAACCGCTGTAGAAGAATTCCAGCCGAAAGATAACGAAGCTTTCAAGGTCAAAGCTGGCAGCTGAAGCTGCAGTGAGAAAAGTAAAGTGCAAAAGAGGGGGGCTTGTTTTCCCCTTGCCTTTTCGTTCTCTCTCTCTTCAGCAGGGAAAAGACTGAAAAGTAATCCCTGCTACTTGTAAAAGTTTATTGAAGTAAGAAAACCCCCCATACAACTGATAGAAGAGTCTGTGGATGTACCAAAGAGAACCAAAACTTCATGAAAAGGACTGAAGTGAGGCAAAGTCCTGGTGAAGATTTGTGATCCTGAAGGAAACCTGTGCTGGAGCAGTGACGACTCAGGTGGGATACTGGGATCCGTGTGTGTGTGGATCTATACTACTGTTGAAAATTTTGTAACTCTGAGAAATCTCATGCTGGAGCGAGATGGCCCATGTGAGATGCTGGAATCCGTGCGTGTGTGGATTCATATTAGACCCATGCCGAGAAGTCTATCAAGGACTGTTCTCCCATGGGGAGGGACCTCCATAGGGAAACAGGGGTGAACTCTTAAGCCATTATCCCCTGTAACCCTGTGGAAGAAGATCCATAGTAAGCAAGTGTCCCCTTGCAAGCCTATGAGATTCATTTTTTTCTTTATGAAAAATATTAGACAGGAGCTGCTCTATGATTTCTTGTTTCTCTAAACTTGCTAGCAGTGGATCTGGTTCTGAGCTGTTCTGTACTTGTAACATCTGGTCTCTGCTTAGACGAATAATTTCGCAGAGTGACTGTGATGCATTTGAATGCCTATCTTCATCTTGAGATGGGTGTACAATTTCCACAAGCGTTGGACTCGATGACCCTTGTGGGTCCCTTCCAATTCAGCATATTCTGTGATTCTGTGAAATCAAGCATGAACTCCATAGACACTGCTACCTAATTTGCAGATAGATGAAAACTTTAAAAGCGTTTTTTTATGCTGGATTTTATTACAGAGTATAATAATAATCGTTGTTTTGTAATTAATAACAGCATACTTTTGAGATAGATCTCATTGTAACTCCCTAGCTCTCTGAAATACAGAGAGCTGCCAATTCTAAGCATTTTCCTACGAGAACTGGCCAGAGACAGCAGACAGCAATATTTCTCTCCACCTCTTCTGGTAGCTGTTGTTAGTGTTGCCTTGTAAAGACAGAGTATCTAGTTTGTTACTAATTGGTTCTTTTGAGATCCTGGTAGCAGACAAGGAAGAAAAGCCGTGGCTCATTCAGTTTATATGCTATTTTCCTTTAACAAAGGAAAAAGAATTCTCTAGTTTTACTATAGATTAGATGGATTAGTACCGTTCCTGACCATAAGCAACCTTAAGGATGCTTTTTTTGACAAATTTCTCTATTTATTTCATGCCAGTGTTACCAACATCTTTAACAACCTGAATGATTCATACATTTGTCATGTTAATAAATTTATCTGCATTGAAAAGTTTGATTTTTCTTTCACACTTAACAGTGCTTAACTTATTACTCAGAACTGGCTCCTCTAACTGGATCTGTACAGGAATATGTTGTCCTTGTCCCCTTGGTAACAGTGCATCTCTGTATGGCAATAAGAGTTCATGGAGGTTGTAACTCTTTGTAATGAGAATTTGCAGAGTTAAAGTGAACTTCCCTATACTCCAGTGACAGCATGACCGGAGCCCCAAAAGCCATTTTTCTGGCCTGTACTGCAAAGGTTGGAACACTTGAGTAAGGTTATTATAAAAGAGATAGTGTTCAATATCTGCTCCTAAGCCACTAGAGCACCTTGGTCACATAGTTTTTCTTTAAATCTTTCAATATCTGTTAGTGCAGAAGGTGGACAGTTACATATGTGACCTTTACAGAGTTATGAGGGAAATAAGCCATTAGTAGAGGAAAAATACCTGTTACTGTCAAAAACACCGGAACAAAAATTTGGGTAAAAAATTCCCCAAGGGCACACATACCCCTGGGATACTGCCAACAATATTATTGATGTGATAGTAAGGATTTTAATGCATACGGGCTTATTGTCAGCAGGTGTTATTAAGGCACTACACACATTAAAACATCTCAGCTAGTGAATCAACTGACAGCTGAACTAATGCATAATCTACTCTAAGTATATAAAAATTTGCATACGTGTACACCAGAGCATAATAAGGCTGCAGGATTTTGCTAACTTTAGAACTGGAGACCTTGTCTATGAAATAATTTTCTAGAGCTTCTGGGTTTCATGGAGCTAAATATAGCTTGGTATAGTACAAGTAAATGCAGGCAAACCATCTCCATTATGTGGAGATAAAATATACATGCAAAAAGAGACTCCATGAGGAAAGAAGAACTCAGTTTTTGAAAACTGGACATCCACAGAGGATGTCAAAGGCTTCCATACAGTCTTTCTAATAAGTATATACCACACAAGCATTCACTTTATATCCTCATGCTAATCTGAGCATTCTGATGCAGAATTTTTGGTTTCTAACTAAAATTACTACACTTGCAAATCAAGCCTCTGATGGTTGGTCTACCTGAAGAAAACCTATTTAAGTATTATTTTTGGTTTGATTTAACTTTTGCCTCACAGATTTAATTGAAAGTGGTTTTGTGATGCACATGCTGAACTGTGATATTGGGCTTTGTTTTTATTAGGAAGGAATCAGTGGGGATAGCACGTAGACATAAGTGAGAGTATTTAAAAGACAAAATAAAGAGGAATACTTGAAACTTTATATAGTTTATGCAATCATCTGGTTAATTCTTTGACAGTAATGTTCAAAGTAAGCAGCTTGTCATAGTCATACAGCTTCTTACCTCTTCTGTTAATACTACATGTGATTGCAAAGTAGCCTTTTTTTTTTTTTTTTCTATAAAAAACCTACTCTTTTCAGCAAATGAAGTTTTAAAGCTCTGTTGTCCACTTGCCTATCTGGCACATACAACTTTGCTGATTTTTTGTGTTATGTCAGGGTATTTTAGCTGCAGGATGTCAGGATGCCAGTTCTATTGTGAACAATACTAGTGTTAGTAATAATCACATGCATCACACAGTTGCATGCAACTTGTTGAGATACTCACTTTCCAAAACAATTATTTGAAAAGCTGTTCTCACTTGTACAGTACAGAATATTGGATAAACCTACAGGTTTACTGATGTTAACTTCGGATTTTCAAAATACTGCCGGTACATATTTCTCATTCATTTCGGACCAAATTATGAAAAAGAACTTACAGGGGTGGTTTTGAATGACAAAACGAGGGCATAAATACAGAAATAAACAATACTGAAATTCATTCAGTATGCTCTCTGTTACCAAATGAAAGTGATTAGCAGAGTTGTTTGAAATCTTCAGGAAAAGGAAGCTTAAAGATTGGAAGAAAAATGTTACTTTATAGCCTTTGAGAAACCTTTATCTGAAAACAAATCAGAGGTCTTATTTTAGCTTCTTGCACTGGATTGCAGGTTTTTTGCATGTGGGAAGGGAAAGTTTTTCACTGTGCATGAGGAGGAAAAAAGAATTCAGGGTGTTGATTTATAAACTTATATGATGGGCATCCCACTCTTGCAGCAGTTTTAAACCTATTTTTGATCCAGAAAGGAAAAGAGATTAACACAATTACTACTAAAGCTTTTTCAGCTCTTGAATTCCCCTCTTTTACTTTCCATGAGCCTTCCCAGTCAGGTAAATGTTTTGTATATGTGAGTATAAAACTGGTAAGGTTTGGTACCTTATTACAGTAAGTCCTTTGTTGTCAGTCTTACATTAATTCAATCTGTGTTTGGGACAAAACTAGCAAGTATCTTACACATGAAGGGACTTACAGATATTGTCCTAGTATGAAAATTAGAAGATGATAAGTAGAAGACAAACATCTAGTAGAACATGAATTTAAGAGAAATGCATATCATTATATTTTAAAAAAGGAGAAAATTTAGTGTAATGGTTTTGATTTTAGGCCCTATATTGGCCTCTTCCTGGATACCAGGTCATAACTTAGGAAGTCTCATATCCAAGGTATTCCATCCTGGTTTTCACGTAAGCAACAGTATAAATAAGAAGGAGAGAGAAGGATCTCTCTCTCTTCTCTTCTGCTGGACTTGAAGTCAGCAGGTCCCGGCGGCCGGCTCTCACTTATCTAGGAATGAGGCCTGCTGTGGCCTGTTGTTTTCTGATCTGGATGGAGAAGTCTGGTGAAGTGTCTTTCGTCTTTCTGAGGAAAGTGTTTTGTTCTTTTGTTTGCTAGTTCTGTATTAGCTGTGTATATCTGCATATATTGGTTTTTATTTTTGGTTTTAGTTTTGGGGAGTGAGGACTCTTTGTTTATATGTATACAGTCTCTTTGTAACTGTATTTAGATGTAAATATATATATATATATTTATATATATATATATATATATATATATACTGCTTTGGTTTTGTCATTTTGGTGTTTTTGGTAGGTTTTTTCCCTCCTCTTTTCCCTTGTGCTCATGGCGGGGGGGAGACTAGAACTGTAGGCTGGGGCATTTGGCTGGGAGCCAGGTCCAAACCATTACATTTAGGTAGTCTAAAATCTTACCAGTTGTACACTTTAGGGCACTGAAGATGGACAGACTTATTCAGCACTTATGTGATATTCAGTAGAGATTCATAAATACAGATGTGAAGTCGCCAAAGAAGTTTCCAGACCTTTCAGTTTATGTTATAAAATATTATGAATATAAATTACAATCTTTATAGAGATATTATCAACCAGTTGCTCATAAGCACCCATTTGCCATTTGAAGACTGATATTGCGACATCTTCTTTAAAGAAGAAACTCTTAAAAAACCCCATTAGCTCTATTTTTACATAAATCTGCTACAGTACTTTCTTGGCATTTAGCTATAGAGCCACCCTTTTGTGTGGAACATGCTGCAATAACCCAAGAAGTGTTACTTACAGGTTTTCTAACATCTGGTAGGGTAGCCCACAGTGGAAAAACAATGGGTAACACAAAAAGATAGGTGAGCTGCTTGCGTCGGGTTTCAGGCCAGGCCAGGCTGAGAGGCTGCTCCTCATCCTCTTCATTCTGTAAGGAAAGTTGCAGTGAGCAGAATATCAAAGTGGATAACTGAGATTAGGGATTCTTCCAGAAGGAGTTGCAGTGAGAACCATGGACTCTGAAGACATTGCACAAACACCACATCTACCTAACAACATTATTTAGAACACAGGAAAAAAGAATCTGGCCAAATTGTGAGGTATCCCTGCAGCACAGGGCATCCATTTGTGGCTGGTCCCTCGAGATGCACAGAATGTCTCTGAAAAGTGTTCCTACAGCTCTCCCTTGGGATATAGGTTAGTCTAATTAGGGATTAAGACACCTCTGGGCAGCACAAAGCCTGGCCACACATATGACAGAGAGAGAAAGAGAGAGAGAGGGAGAGAGAGAGAGGGAGAGAGAGGGAGAGAAAGAGAGAGGGAAAGGGAGAAGGAGAGGAACAGCATGCGCGCATAGGTGCATGTACACACTTCCACACACACATAAATATGCACTTCCATATGCACATAAATATTTAAATGTGCATATAGACATATACATATATCTAAATTTTTAAGCTTTTTGAGAAACTTGAAAAGTTACTGTATAAATATGTGTCTGTATATGTATGTATTGTCTTGTTCACAGAATCATTGGGTAATGCAGGCTGGCAGACACCTGTGGAGCTTCACTGCTAAGCTGGTGTGGTCAGGCTGGGCTGCTCAGAACTCTGACCAGTCAAATTGTGAAACCCCCAATAGTGGAGATGGCCTGACTTCTCTGGGCCCCAACACCACTGCTGGGCTGTCCACTTGAGGAATAGGCTTCTCCTTGTCTCCAACCAAAGACTCTTGTGTTTAGACCAGCCACAGTGCAGCAGTGTTCTTAACAACTTGGTGCTAAAACTAAAGACATTCCTCTCCTATTGATGTAGTTCATTTTCACATTGATTTCTAGTCTCTATCACAAGCTGCCCACCTGTCATCTCTGTTACAGAGGAGATGTATAGGAACCCTCTCCTGTGACAGAAAACACTTGATTGCCACACACTTCTCTTTTCTTAGACTGTTCCTCCTAACAAAATTGACCCTTCTCAAAATGAAAAGGAGGCATGATTCAGCTTTTTGTGTGCAAGTATAGAAATAACTTCTAAACTTCTAACATAGGTAAGCAATATCTCCAGAACTGCACATCTATCTAACACATATCACAGAATAAGGCAACTGAAAAAATGGCCTAAATGGTTCTTTCACATAAATGTGTATAATGCAAATTGTGAATCTTGTGGAAAGACTTCTAGAGAGCTCAGTGAAAGCTAAACAAGTCCAAAAAACAGCATGTGGTGAAAACTGTTTGAAAGCATGAGAAGTATACAACAACTTCTTCATGTAGTGTTGTTTTTTTCTTTTGAAAAAAGGTAACAATTGAGACAGCTCTGCAATATGCATGTTATTCTTCCTATAGATTTATAATAGGATTCTTATAATAAGTTTCTTATAATAGGTTTCTTCTGTCTTAAGATTGCTTACCTAAACCTTATGACAATGATAGATGAAGCAAACATTTGAATGGCCACATCAGTTATTTTTTCCTAAGCAAAAGAGTTACTGATGAAATGCCACCATATGTTGGTATTGTTCATAACATTTTCTACTTATTTCCAGTTTTGACTGAAGAACTGGTCTTAGTTAATCCACTATAATGAACTTTTGAATTGTTTGACTACCCAGATACCTAATCCGATCAGTATCTAGAAAAGCAAGTTCTTAGCTCAGTATCTTCCACTCTGATGGTACCACCTGACACTGATGGACTGGAAGCAAATCCCTATTTATCTCTTAACACATGGACAGGTTGCAGCTACTTTTGAGTTATGTGTTGATGTCAGCAGAAGACAATCTATTGTTAACCCCTGTACTTTGTGAAACTCCCGACTTGCATGACTGTAAGACAACAGTAAAGTGAACAAATCATAAAGGTTATAATCTTAAAAGATTTTTAAAAGTATATAGGCAAAATTTGTCACACTCAACACGGTACTTTAAAGGCTCCTGAGCAGCTTAGAGACTACCTTTTTCCTTTAGCTTTCAGTTTCTCACAGAGTTTGTCCTTTATGCTTCACTGCTGCAATCTACTGAAGCCTGACTTTTGATGAACTGTGCTAGAGCAGGAGTTTGTGGGGCTACTTCCTGAAAAACAAATCCATTCCTTTTCCATTCTGGTAGATGCTACTGGGGTGGAAAAATCAACCTGAGATGGAGGCTCAGCTTTGAAATACGATGACAGATAAAATTTGGGCACAAAAGGACCAATTAAAGGGTTGCCTAGGTAACTGTTTCTGAATGGCCTACGAGTAATTCAAGCAGAGACTCAGCTGGAATAAAGCTCTGTAAGTGACTGCTGAATAAACACCACTGAGTGGCAAAGTACTTCCTGAATTGCCATCTTTAGAGATTAGCCACAATTAACAGCTCTAGTTAACCACAACAAAACTTTACATTAGTCTGAGCTTGCACATGTGTCTGAAAAATATACAGAAAGTAATGTCTACATTACTTTCATGCAGGACTGTACTGGTACTCACCTACTTCAACTCTGGGTATCATTCTAGTCTCGTGGCTGTGTCAAATACCATTGGGTGTGCATGAGCGCCACATATGCAACATGAATGGCTGTAGCAAAGGACCACAAAGAATTGCTTTTGGAGATTGTCAGATCTCTCAAGCTTCTGAGAAAGCTTGATCCATCTTTTGAGATATTTTCATCTTGCAGTTGTCCTACCTCATCCTTCTCCCCAAGACAACTATCCCCAAAATATAAGGCCAAACTCAGGCTCACAGTGCAGCCAAAACCCTTCTTCTTCCTAGTTTAACTCCAGAATGCATTACACATGCTACAGAGTTGATATTAATTCCTATTTTGTAAATTGGATTTGGCATCTGATTTCCAATGCTGACCTTCCAAAAACCAGTGGAAGTAAGGAAGTGCAAAGTATTTATAGATCTAGGTTCCAAGAATTTCAGTGAAATACTGAACAATTGACTGATGTTTAAGAAATGAATGGAAAATAGTTTTGGCAGGTCTACAACCACACAAATGTAAGTAACATGCTGTGGACTAAGCAGCAGTGGTGGAAAATGACTCAGCATGGATTTACGGCAGACGTTGTGTGCAGCATCAGCAGCTCCAGCCTATCTGCAATGTACATACTGAATATGCATTATCACCGTTTGTATAAACTAATACTTCAACTATGCTTTTAGTCTGTATGATGAAAATTCAATAGTTGCAATGTTCAGTATGATTCTCTTCTACAGCACTATGAAGAAAATGTAATGGAAACATGATATACACACAGGAATTCAACTACCTGAATACATATGGTGGTGCCATTTTAGATAACTTCTGGTGTCTCCCTTGACCTTCACACGCTCCAGCAAAAGTGGAGAATATTCTGCTCATTTATGACACATCTGCCACCACTGTGCTAAAATCTCCATTTCTCTAGGGCAGTTGAAGTACCTACCTATCTATACTACAAAACTCATTACCTCCTATGACTCTGTAGCTAATCAACTTTAATGATGCTGGAGAGGACATATGGGAAAGCTGCATCAGTTGACGTGTTCAATTCTGATGATAATCCATTAGAAAGAAACAGCCATATTGCATCAGACCAAAGGCCAATTTACACCGATATCTTGCTTCTGGCAATGGTCAGACATGGGCACTCAGAAAATAAGTATTGGAATGCAGCATATTTTTTCATCTTTCACAAATTCAATCATTGAAACATTTATGTTGGAGAAGACACCTAAGATCATCAAGTCCAACCATAAACCTAACACTGCCAGCTCCACCACTAAACCATGTTCCAAAGCACATCTACACATCTTCTAAATATCTCCAGTGATGGTGTCACAACAACTTCCCTGGGCACCCTGTTCCAGTGCTTGACAATCCTTTCCACGAAGAAATTTTTCCTAATATCCAAACTAAGCCTCCTCTGACACAAGTTGAGGCCATTTCCTCTCATCTTTTCCCGTGTTAATTGGGAAAAGAGACCAACCTCCACCTGGCTACAACCTCCTTTCAGGTAGTTGTAGAGAGTGATAAGGTCCTCCCTGAGCCTCCTTTTCTCCAGGCTAAACAAACCCGGATCCCTCAGCCAATTCTCCTAGGACTCGTGCTCCAGATCCTTTACCAGCTTCGTTGCTCTTCTCTGGATGTGGTCCAACACCTCAATGTCTTTCCTGAAGTGAGGGGCTCAAAACTGAACACAGGACTTGATGTGCAGCCTCACCAGTGCCAAGGATAGGGGAACTATCCCTTTCCTAGTCCTCTGGCCACACTATTTCTTATTCAAGCCAGGATGCCATAGGGCATCTTGGCCACCTTGGCTTTTGTTCAGCTGCTGTAGGCCAGTACAAAATCACAGAATCATAGAACAGTTAGGGTTAGAAGGGACCTCATCTAGCCAAAATGACCTCCAGATCCTTTTCCACCAGGCAGCTTTCCAGCCAGTCTGACCCAAGTCTGTAGTGCTGCATGGGGCTGCTGTGACCCAAGGGCAGGACCTGTCACTTGGCTTTGCTGAACCTCATACCACTGGCTTTGGCCCATCAATCCAGCCCATCCAGATCCCTCTATGGAGTCTTCCCACCCTCCAGCAGATCAACGCTCCCACCTTTGTGTCTTTATGGCATCTGCAAACTGACTGAGAGTGCACTTGATCCTCTTGTCTAAATTACTGGTAAAGATATTAAATAGGACTTGCCCTAATACTGAGCCCTGGGAAACTCCATGGGTGACTAACCACCAGCTGGATGCAATTCCATTCACCATCCCTCTCTGTCTCCAGCCATCCAGCCAGTATTTTACCCAGTGAACCATCTACACTCAATGTATCTGGCCACACCATGGGAAACCAGTATCTCCAGAATAATGTTGAGGGAAAGTATCAAATGTTTTACTAAGGGCCCAATAGACAACACCTACAGCCTTTCCTTCATCTACTAAGTGTGTCAATTCATCATAGAAAGAGATCA